TTTCACCGTTGAAAACAGGAGCCCTATTATACGCCCCTTTAGGTTCGTTTGCCATTTTCTATCTCGTTGTATTTGAAGCACCGAATAACCGGAGCTCTAGATACCACTTGTTAGACTATAGCACGGATCTAGAAGGGGGGGTTGAATAGATCCCCAATTAAAATTTGAGTCGGCGCTACCAATTTAAAATTGGTTTTAAAAATGTTTTAAGTGCGGAAGCGGCCGAGGAAAAATATAGTCTAAAATGAACGGTTATTGGAAAACCGGATATACGTAAGCCTATGGATTTATGACAATTCGGAAAAATAGAATCATAACATAAACTATGCTTATCAATTATTTACTTCAGTTGTAAGGTTACCTAGTTCCAATGATCCAAAATTAAACCAAAACTAGATACACAAGTAAGGTAATTTTGGTTCAAGCAATATGTCAAACACTTGGTGTGCAAAGACACTCCAAGTGATGTTTATGTTGAGTAAGTGATTTCAATCAGCCTAGTACAACGTTTTGTTGTACGTTAGAGTTAAAAACAACGTTTTAATCTCTTACTCAATTTATATCACAGTTTTGACAAAAGAGCTTACACAAAAATTACTTATTTGAGCGGTAACGAAAATGCTGAAAATAAAGAAGACAAGTAATTTGGTGAGGCAGTTCCCCCGTCGTCCTCGCTTCGGGGTACGTCTGCCCTCAATTCTAAAACTAGAATTGAGATATATTGAATAGATATCACCTGTTTGAATGAACAGTTTATACAAGGATTGAGCAGCAAAATTACAACAAAAATCTCAATGTGTTGAAAGTTGCCTTCACTCCTTGCCCCTTGATTCAAGCTGAATCAAGTTCTTCGATTTGTGTTGATGGACCTCCGACTCCAGCCACCTTATTGAAGAACACGTTGTTGTTCAAACCTTTGGCTCCGGCTGATCTCAACAGCACCAAATCGAACCCGAGATCTTCCCTTCAAAGTCACCGAATCCGCTACTAGACTTGTGAAGACCACCTCTTCACAATCACCTTCGCTCGATTGATCATTGATGAAGAATCTCGTCCAAAAACCCCCAAAAATTAGAACCAATCTTGGAGGGCAAAACCCCAATGGTTTTATTCAAGAAAGAACCTGTCGCAATCTTCAACCCGAGCTTGATTCTCCAATCTAAGCCTCGAATCTTATCGCCTTGAATCTCTCACAAATGCATTTCAAAAATGATTGTGTGTAATTGAAATATTGTGAGAGGTTGAAGATGAAGATGATGAATCTTGGACACCTATTTCACTCTTTCTTGTTTTTGAACACATGAATCAAAAGACTATCAAATGTTATTAGACACAAGTGTTTAAGCAAGTATATATAGAGCCCACAAAATTCAGAACATAACAGTATTTCAAATATGAGAGGGAACAAAGTTAAAAACAGTTTTTCCGCGTGAACGGTCGACCATAACAGGTCTATGCGTCGACGCATGGCCTGTGATGTTTTGAATTTATGGAAATTTCATCAGTATGCGTCGACCATACAGTCGGCGTGCGCTGACCCGTTGAAATTTTTTTCCTTTGTGCGCCGACCCTATGGTCGACCAAAGCTTTTATGCGTTGACCCGCTGGAAAATCACTCTTTCATGCGCTGACCCAATGGTCGACGCATGCTTTATGCGCTGACAGTCTTTCCCTTGTTTTTGATGGATACGTCGACCCTATGGTCGACCCATGTCCTGTAATCCTGCAAAATATTGTTAGTTTGAAGTTTTTCATACCTTTAGTCATAACTGAATTTTGTCAACTCAATGTATATTTATTTAAGACAAATTAAGACAAGCAAAAGGAGAATATGATGAGTGATATGTTGCATCTGGTTTAGTGGATCTGGAACTCATACTTTCCAGTCTATCCTGGGAATTTGTCATCATCGAAACCTGCATTTACCAATGTCTTGCAGCTTTGTGTGATATGTGGCGACTTGCCTCCACAGACACGGTGATGACAACGAGCTCGACAATCTCTGCAGCAACGATAGTTAATAACCTCGTTCCACTCGGTGATCTTTGTCTCTATTTAAAGCTTTAGAATCACTATTTTGAAGGAAAGCACAGGTATTTCTTAAGCATACTAGAATTGATATTTTTTGCTCTTATAATTGATATGTATGTTAGATGTTCGATTAAATGCCTCAGAGAAACAAATAGTTAATTATTCTGAATGATTATCATATTATGTTAGGACTCAAGTGTTAGTCTAATATTGTCTTTTATCCTTGTGTTCACTTTTAAATTTTAATCGATTCTTTTTCTTGATTACTAAGAGAGTTATCTTGATGAACATGAAGAGTGTGAGGAGCAAGGGAATTGTTTATATTAGTGAAGTAAGATGAAGAGTCAACAAGAAAAGGTAGTTGATATGAAAAAGTTGACATGATAATATGAGTTATCAAGATTTCAGAGGTCTTGAAAATGATAGAAGAAAGGTGAAGGCAAAGACTAGTTATGTGTTTGTTTGTGGTGTTGGTGATGATGACTCAGGAAAAGTTGTGGTGTTGATGAGAGAAGCACTTAATGCATTAAGGAAAAAGGCTCGAACAACAACGAGTAGTGTTCCATATCCTTTTGGATCAATCATGAAGGGAGTTTCAAGACATTTAGTGCAAGAAGTGTGTACCACCTGTGGTAACCATGACTCTTTTAAGCAGACGTGGACAATGTTTCCAGGAACTGATCTATTTGTTGGAATTCCATTTCATGTTGCTCATACTATATTGGAAACAGGTTTTTTTTATTCCATTTTGCGCTCACGCCTGCTAGCTGATATGAAAGTTAATATTGAGAAAAGAAGTATGAAAAAAATATCTGTATATGTATGCTTGTATTAGTTTCTTATTTTTGTCTACTTCGCCAAAAATGATGATTGGTCATGCTTCTTTATGTGGCCATTCAGTAGTATTTATTTATTTGATAAAATCATGTAATCATTGGAATTTTTTCGTTTTTGCTTCAGTGTAATTTTGGAGTACGTGTGAGATTATTTTCATATTTTCTAGGTTATATGCATTAGTTTGGAGTCTGGAATTTATTTGATATCTCTGTCTTAATGCCTTTTAGTCTATAAGCTGATTTCTATTGAAATTATGTTGGTATACTCTTACGAGTGTGTAATTACAGATCAAGCTCAGCTGGACTTGAGGCAAAGAAACTACAGAGCACTGTGAAGGAAAAATCACTTATTATATCAGATACAGGTACTCTTGCAGACAAAATTAGTCCAGGAGTGCTTAAATCACTTGTAAACTTAAATGAAAAACCAAAGTAACGTGCTTTATGCCGACTATGGTGTCTTACAATGTCATTGGAAATAACTTTCTCTAGGCAACTCAGGATGTGGTCGTTAATAGTACTACTATTAACAGGTCTGGAGTATCAAAAACACGATACTTTCTAGCTGTATAATTCAGCAAACTTATGTAAGTGTTATATATAAAGATGTGTTATCAATGTTATGGTATTGACTGTTTTGGTTATGCTTAATATAATTGGCAGGGAGCTGCACACAAGGAACGTTCTGGATTTGAGGGACCATGGACTTCTAATCCTCTCATTTTTGACAACTCATACTTCACGTAAGCCTTTTGAAACATTGTCTTTCATCCATGACGACACCTTTGATCTAGTTTTCAGTTTTCTTTATTGACAACATTATTGATAAATTTACAGTGAGTTGTTGACTGGTGAGAAGGATGGTCTTCTGCAGTTGCCAATTGACAAGGAACTTTTGACTGACTCTGTATTCCGCCCTCTTGTTGAGAAATATGTTGCGGTAAGTATATTTCTGTAATACTATTCTATGTGAAATTATAATATCTACTGTAAAGTTAATGAAATAATTCTCATCTGTCAATGTTTACAGGACGAAGATGCCTTCTTTGTTGATTATGCTGAAGCACATCTTAAGCTCTCCGAGCTTGGGTAAGTCATTTTATCTTACTCTGGAGCTTATGAAGAATATACTTGGTATACCTCTGGTATTTTTATTTGTGGAATGTCTATAGCAAGTTGATTCATTTTTATGTATTTTTTACCTTGCAGATTTGCTGAAGCCTAAGTCACAGTTGTGTGGTGTTTAGAGAGACGCGGTGTTCTGAATCTTACATAAATTTCATAGATGAACTGTCCCAGGGGTTCAATTCTTGGCAACGAAAACACTTGATTGGCGTTGAGACCATCCTGCAGCATTAGGAAGGATTCTCCATACTGTTGAACTTCCTTGGAAAAGCAACAGATCAAAGGAGGAGGATTTATGCAGAGAGATGGCCAACTGTGGTTGCTGTGTCCCATATTTTTCATATTGCAGGTAATTACACTGCATGGCAACTTACAACTGATAAAGGCCTTCCTCCTGCTTTTTTGGGATCTTAAATTATTTTCTTCCACCTTCCACGTTGTCGTTGAACCAATTTTGACTTGGGTTAATTTTCCTAAGTAAGCTCAGGCATGTTGTTTTCATCTTCATTGGTTGCTTAATTGCTCCTCAACTTCAACTTTCGGTTTCAATTTGGTTTGTTTTTAGCTATCGGTTCCATAATTGGGATCTTTAGCTTGTTTGTATTTTAGGGTTTCAAAGGGTCAATTTGGTTTTTTGGAAATTTGTTTGTGTGTGTGTGTGTGTGTATGTGTGTGTGTGTGTGTGTGTGTGTGTGTGTGTGTGTGTGTGTGTGTGAATGTTGAGCTATTATTGAGTCATTATTGCATTTTTAATGGTACAGTTGTTCCTATTCCCAACGGGTTACTATTTTAATATGTTTAATTTTCATTCACTTCTATATTTATGTTGTTTTGTTGACTCTGTCTTAATCAGTATGATGCTAGTGTTTATTGGGTATTTCATCTAAGTACCAATATAAGCTTTCTCTTTTTTGTTTGTGCTAAAAGTGATGATTGGTGTTTGAATTTGTTGTAGGCTTTTGTTGTTTTTTTTTTTGTTTTTTTAGTTCCCTGATTCTGTTACATATAATGGAATCTTGGAGTTATGTTTCCAATGAGAATCAAGGTTCTGAAGAAATTGGGTTTTTTGAAATGTTAGGGAAACAATTTTCAGATGATTTCAATTTCATTGGGAATGTTTCAAGCAAGAAAATTTATGCTAAATTTGGTGACCCGAATGGGTTTTCTTCAAAAGGGGGCTCAATTTCCAAGCTTTCTAACTTTGTGGTGGAAACTAATGGTTGGGATTCTCTTATAGATTTGAAGCTGGGAAATTTTGGTGATCATGGTCATGGAGGATCTATTTTTTCTTCTTGTGAATCATCAACACCTCCCAAGAGAGTGAGAGTGCATTCACTGAATGCATACTGTCAAGTTTATGGCTGTAACAAGGATCTTAGTTCTTGTAAAGAGTATCACAAAAGGCACATAGTTTGTGAGGTTCACTCCAAAACTGCTGTAGTCATAGTGAATGGAATTGAGCAAAGGTTTTGTCAACAAAGTAGCAGGTTGGTTAGTTTTTCAAGATTATCACTTCTTTCGATTCATTTTAGTGTTTGGTTTGTGTTCTGAATGAGGCAAAATTGATTCTAGAGCTATTGAACTAGTTTTGATATGTTTGAATGTTCTTCAATATAGTTATTCTGTCATTTGTAGATAGGATTTGGAGTTGTTGCCTTCACAATTGATTTTTAGCCTGGAATTTATTGTTCAATTCAACTCTATTTAAGTAGATGTATAAAACATAAATCTATTTAACCTCAACTCACTTTTGGTTAGAATCAGTTTTCAGATAAGCTTGAAATAAGAAGCTATATAGTTATGATATATAGGTGTGTTTGTGATGTTTGGCTTGTTATTCAGGTTTCATTTGCTGTCTGAATTTGATGATGGTACGCGCAGTTGCTATAAACGACTTTCAAGCCATAATGAGCGTCGCAGAAAACCACAAGCAGGCGTTCATTCTACGAATTCCAGGAGATTGTTTCAGCCATGTGGTGGTAATAATATTTTATAATGAAAACATATCATGATTGAATTGAACTCTATTCATTACACTCCCTTCTATTTCATATGCGGATTGGTTTGTTGCTTTCTGCATCATTAAATTACTTTTATTTCTTGCAAATATCAGGTTCCACGGAACCAAGCCGCCACAAGCATCTTTTATCTGTCCGGAGGTGTTCTCGAATGGTTTCTCGAGACCGATTAAATCAGAACATGAAACTGGCTTTAGACCTTTATCTTTTGTGCCTGTTGTGAATGGTCATCATCAACCAAGGTCTTCGCTTGCTTCGTACAACGGCAAACAGTTTCCCTTTCTTCATGAAAATGTTGCCACATCCACTATACGTAGCAGCATGTTCAGTGAAAACAATAACCATTATGCACATTCCGTTGGCAACGCGTTATTAGGAAGGGAAGACTTCAATGCTTTTCATGTAGCATCAACTGTTCGAGGATTATCAGGAATTTTGATATATTGGTTACTTTGGTCTGTGAGGAACAAAAGTATATTTGGCCTCTTTTGAGTATGATGTGAGGAGTTGCCGAACTTTCCAAATATTGATCGAGATGCTCTGTGGCACCAGTTATATGCTAGCAAATATGAAATTATCTGAGTTCGTGAAGAAAGCAAAACTGAGATTCCTATCACAGAAGCTAAGTGAATACGAGGCCACAAACAGTCGTCTCAAGGTGTTTTGTATGTCTTGGTTGATAATTTAGTGGGTTAATGGAAAATTTACTTCTGAATACATTTTATGATTCAACAGTCTGAAATGAAGGCAGAGGTAGATCGGTCTGAAAATTTAGTTGTGTTTATAAAATATTTTGGTTTGAAGTACTCTTAGCCAAATTAATACATAGATACAATTCCTTCTGTATTTATTATGGCAGTGGTATAGATATATATGGTATCACATTTGTCATTATTATTTTATTTTCAAATATTTTAGCTGCTTAGTCATTATTATTTTATAAATTCTAATGTCGTAAAATGCAAATACTATATATATATATATACCAAAAGAATGATTTTGTGTAAAAAAAAAGTGTACTACAATAGCGTTTTGAAGAGAGAGTGCTATTAATGATACGTACTATAATAGCACTTTTATGGAAAAGTGCTATCTAATATGTGTCTTATTATAGCGCTTTGTTTGAAAGTGCTATCAAAATCAAAGCAAATTACCGGTACTATAATAGCGCTTTGTTTGAAAGTGCTATCTAATATGTGTCTTATAATAGCATTTTTGGAAAAATGCTATTAAATACCGGTACTATAATAGCGCTTTTGGAAAAACGCTATTAATTACCAGTACTATAATAGCACTTTTAAAGCGCTATCAAAAATTTTGTTTTACAATAGCAGCTTGGTTAATAGAACTTTTAAGCGCTATCAAAAATTTTGTTTTACAATAGCAGCTTGGTTAATAGCACTTTTAAGCGCTATCAAAAAGCAAAAAAACGCTATTAAATAGATTTTTTGTAGTAGTGAAGGTATGGTAACCAAAGGTTACATTTGTTATTGATCCATCAAAGTTTAAACGATCTTTGAACCCTTTATTGGTGACACACTCGGACGAATGAATCTCTTCTCAAGTAGATCTTTAAGTTGACTCTTCAACTCTTTCAATTCCGATGCGGACATATGACATGGAGCCATCGATATCGGACTAGTTATGAGAACTAAGTCGGTCGTAAACTCCACCTCGCATTCCGGCGGTAAATCACTTATCTCATCAGGAAAAAATTCTAGAAAATAAAAAACAATTGGCAAAACACCAACTTCCCCACTTTCACTAACACTCAAAGTTGCCATCAACATAAACATCTCAGCACCATCCTGCACCGATTGATCAAAACAATCTGCAAGCACTTGGTTTAACTCTAAACCATTCACTGTACACACCATTTAAGCTCGCAACACACGTCTATTCCATCCAACATGATCCCGTCTACTATCAACAAGAGATTAAGGGTGATCATTTCCTCAATTTGTCAATAGACAGTCGACAATCATGATGAGGAATAAACCATCTTTACCGAACTATAATAGAATTTAACGATACACTGAGCCACCTTTCCACACTTGAAGCATCTTGGAGAAGCACAAGTTTTCCCCCACTTATTTCAATCCCACTCCCGCAGACAAGGGTTAGAAAAACAAATGTGTATTGACAGTGTTTTCACACACATGTCGCATACAAGGGAACAAACAACATTAGACAACCTGGCCGGATGGACCGACCTGCTCTAATACCACTAATGTAACACCCTCCTAAACCCTGCAGAATATATATAAATAATTAGAGTAAATTATCATGCATCTCAAATAAGGGTGTCACATATAATTAAAAACATCACACATATACTTGTCATGCTCAATAACTTAAAATAAATTCATGCTTTTCATATACTTTCACATAGCATGTAGCAGCGGAGTTACTTCAATCATATATTAACATAACGAAATCCCCATGATCAACTCATTTATAATCATCACTTAGGCATAAAAGTCGATACTCCACATAATTCAAATAAAAATAACAAAATAAAGTAGATTACATAAAATATCTCTCAAACATAAATCGAAACAATCCTAGTGTTACATGATCAGAGCATGACTCGACCCAACATAAATAAAGAAACTAAATGAGTTACTCCAACGGCTACCTCGCACTAGAAGCAACTCTACTCCTCGGTGTATGATTCCTAGTATCGGAGGATTCACCAACATACCGCTTATTGGGAGAGAAGGATGCATAAGTTACAACCCTGCTTTGGCCCGCCTCCAATTTGGGTATCCCATGATCGAAGTACCTGACCAAGCTCTGTTGGAAGGGATCTTTCTCAAGGAAGGAGAAGATCCAGACCTGAAGACCGTCATAATTTATGCATGGAGATACATCAATAAGGAAGGAAAGACTGCTTTAGGATACCCCAATTGTGTTGTCTCTGAAGAATATCTACATTGGGTACGAGAAAGAGCTCTCGACCTCAAGATGCCATTTCCTTTTCATGAACCTATGGTATTAGCTTTTCATGATCCTGTCGCACCCTAATTTTTGACCATAAGATTCCGCGTCCTTGTGCTTACTTCCTGCTTGTTTATTTTATTATGTGAATGTTTATTACGGCTAACAGGTTTTTTGCAGATACAGTGATGTCAAGCACTTCAAGGTGTGACTGTTAGGTTATAAGGATCCAGGGATCTTTCTTTCGTTTCTCCAAGTCGAATACAAGCTTTTGGCATGTCATGTAGCTCGTGATGAAATAGAGGTACACAAGAGCAAAGTCACTCAAGACAACCTCTGAGTTTGAAACTTGTCATCATTCGAAGTGGGAATTCAAATCAAGCCACGTATTTTCAGAGGTCCTAGACTTTATCCGTTGGTCATTAAAGAAGAAATAAAGAAATTTTTGCGGGATTTGCATCAAGTTTTAACTCGAAAAATTAAGGTGCCAGGATTTATGATTCTTACCCAGAGAAAAAAATCAAATCCAAGTTGTCTTGGTACTCGAGAGTTTTCAATTTCAAGTTGTTGACAAATTCAAAATAAAGGTTCAAGGGTGGATTCATAAGATACAAGTGTTCTTTTTTGGGTACAAATAAGATACAAGGGAATTTGCAATTTTGAAAAGGGGCACTAGCTCAAGAATTAAGAGTTCACAAGAATTAATAAGCTACTATAATTCATTCTTTTAAAGCATAAGCTGGTCCAAGATGACACGCAGAGAATTAATTCCAAGTACAAGATCATTGTTTACAATAATTTCTAGATTATCCTTTTACAGTCCTAATTCTTTTGGAGATTATCTCAAGTCCTGCTTTAAGCAATGGAAACTGATTTGGTAGCTGTCGTATCAAGCTCAATAGAAGTCGTCATTCCAACTCTACCGATATCCGATCCTGCCACCTTCAACCTTCCAGAGGTCATGTCAGGTCACCCAAATAAGTCTGCAAGGAAATTAAGTGTATCGGTGGAATATTCATCGAACAACAACATGTTTGTTATCAAAATGAAAACAGCAATTCAATGCATTACTTTAAGGACAGTCACTACCTCAATGTAAGCAAACATAATTTGAACAGCTCAACTCAAGAACAGTTTCAGACAGCACCAGTTACAGCACAGGGTTTTCGAATTCAGTGTAACAAGTGGGCCATTATAGTCCGTTTACTGTTAGGAGAAATTCCTGAGAGGACTATCTTCGTGCAGAAAGGAATGGAGAAAGCTTTTAGGCCTTACTTTGAACTTACCAATGCTGTCAGGATTGGTGATTTAGAGTTGTTTCGGAATGTTGCAGAGAAGT